CGAGTTCGTAGTAGACTCAATCGAAAGTTGAGATCGAGGCACGAAAAAAAGTATTTCGCGCTTTTTTTCCTCCGTGCCTTTCCAACGGAGATTTCTCAATATAAAGTCCGAAATGCCGAAAATCTAGGTTCTAAGAATTCGTCCACGTCGTCGGACACGGATTTTCGTCAGCCACCAGAGTGCGTACGTGTAGAACGTGCTCCTCCTCTTGTCGCCGCCAGGTGTCAACAGTTCGTGCACAAGTCAAGGTCTATTGTAGCGTTCAATTTGAGAAGAGAAGTTTACTACGTATAGAAAATAATATAATACAATATACTACACAATAATATATATATATAATACAAATATAAAAAAAATTAAAAAATATTATCGAGCGTGCTCTCTCGTTATTAAATTTGTTAAATAAAAACTAAAAAATATAAAATATAAAACAGATATACTATCCTATGTTAATTCGGTGATTGGAAAGTTCCCGAAAACGCGATTTTACAATAAAGTTTATGAATAACAAATATACACATTTGATTTATTTTAATATTCTACATTTAACGATACATAGTCCTTTTCGCAAATCGCGGATATCTCAAGAACCAGAAGAGATAGCTTGAAACTAATTTTCCAGGTACCTTCAATCGGGTACTCTGCGATTTATGACAAAGAGTGAAAGTTAACAAATTGAATATTTCGAGAACGGTAAAAGTTAGAGCAAAATGGTTTTTACATCTCAGTTCCTATTGGATAGTTGCAAAATACCACATGATAAAAGTTTAATAATTTTTATTATTTAAACAATTGATTGTTAATAACTAAAGTTAGAAAGTTCAAACTAGGCTGGTATTTTGCAGTTTGTTACGCTAAGGATTATGGCGCAAACCGTTTTTCTCTATCTCTTTTAGTTTAAAAGTTATTAATTTTGCAACTAACTGTGATATTGCGTAATAGCGACTTAAGGGTGATAACTTATCGATCTTTGCGTACGGTTTAATAATAATAAGCTTCAACGNTAAATTTTAATACGTGATATGTAAAAACTGCATTTGGACTGCCGAGATGTTTTTTGTTTGACGTCAATCGAGAAAACATGTTTATGCGTAATCTTTAAACTATCTATTTTAAGACACTATCATTAAATTTAGTGAAAAAAAAGTTTTAATTCATAGTTTTTAGCAAATATGACAACAAAAAACTTACTTTTTTCAGAAAGTAAATTTGCTTCGGACGAAAACGACCCGTGTCCCTCCGTTGAGGGTTAAGAATAAGTTTATGCAAACAATATTAAGTTATATATAATGCAGTAAAAAGTGTTTGTCAAAACTATTCTACAAAAATGTGTGATATCCGCACAAAAAACCTTTTCAAAAAAAGGTAAAAAAAGGCGCCAAGTACATGCGCAACTCGCATCTCTAGAGAAAGTATTATTATCAAAATCTTCTTCTACAAGATCTATTCTACAAAAGAAATGATATCAATAAGTTATGCCAAGTAAAATCTTTTATACATGGGTACAAAAATATATAAAATATAT